GAGGGAGGCTACCTGCCTCAATGCTGCTGGTCTTGCCCTGCTCATCTTCCTTGTGAACTTTTGGCTGTTTTGGCCTTAAATGTTCACCTGTGTTGCCCAGTCTGTGAATGAGGGATGAGATTATTTATTCTTGCTCTGTCTATAAAATGCAGTGAAAGCTTATGATGAAATATGTAACAGCTGGCCTAGGTAGGAGTGACTGCAGAGCTAACTCACCCTATCTATCCTTTTCTTGCATTTTAAATTCATAGGTGATTTTCTGAGAAGAAGCAATTGCTGTATGTATCTAGAGAAAATAAAAAGGCTAGGCTACTGCAGGGGAGTGCAAATTACTCACAACAGGTTGTCCAGCCTTGCCCCTTACATGAAGGATGGGAAATAACTCAGTGAGGCTAAAGCTTGCTCTGTAACATCTTGGGGTTACAGACAGTGCTGTAGTATTGCAGTACTAATCCAGTAAATACAGAATATTTACTACTCTGGCAGCCAGTACTTTGTGTGCCTGCTGAAGATGCACAAGGCTGGAGCCAGCCAAGGTTGGGCTTGGGGGTTGTATTCCTGCTTCTGCTTTTGGCTGGTTTCCTGTCTTCAGTTTGGTGTCGCTGAATTGAGTTAATGTTTATGGCCTTCCAGAGATTGAAACTCCCTTCTGAGAACTGGGCATGAACACACATCACTTTGAGAAGGTTTGGAAGACTGAAATCAAACCAGCTTCATTGGGATTGAGGTTCACAGGAGTATTTCAAACCACTCAGCTGATGCCTGACCTCTCTGTGTCCTGACTGGGGAAGCAGCTGGGCAGGATGTGAGCATTGTGCAGCCTATGCTGTGCACTGTGAAGTGATGCTGCAGAAGTGAAGGGATGGTTCAGAAAGGGAGTGGATGGGTTTTAGGGATGCTGGCAGTGTCCCTTGTTCCAGCTTGGGGGTGCAGCTGAAAGGTGCATTAACAAATCATTGCCTGTCTGCAGAATGGAGGAGACTGTTCATGAGCCAGGCAGTGTTCAGAGGTTAATATTACTACCTGAAAGAGAAGGGATGAAAGTGCTTTTATTTATCCAGTGTAGGTCATGGCCAAAACCACACACCTGGGAGCAGGGTGCAGGTCCTGTGCAGACCCTTCTTTTCTGCCTAGCCTGAAGCAAGGAGTCTCTGTAGTAGCTGTGACCCCACATCATGAAACAACTCTTTTCTTCACTTTAAAGATGATTCTTGTCCTTTCTTTTCCCTCCAGAGATTGCTTATGCATTGCACATTAAATAGTCATTAGCTAGAAGACTTTGTCATCCAGGGAGCAGAGCTCCTCAGCCAAGGCTTTTCCTTAGCTCTCAAGCATCCAAGGTGCCAGTCTGTGGATAAAGCTTTTTCTCACTTACATTCTCCATGCAGCTGTCCTAGGAGATGTGGAAGTGACCTTGTCTGAGCAAATAAGCAGGACCAAGAAAGGACTTGGTCCCCTTCCATCTGCCTGGAAGAAGAGGAAAGGTTGGGCTGGAAAAATAGATGGTGAGTTTGGTAGCAGGAACACAGCTGAGTGTGAGACGGAGTTGTTGAGTTGGAGAGCAGGCTGAGGTACCAGCATCAGGTTTGGCACTGGGTGCTAAGGTGCTTAAAAGCCTTATAAGGGTTTCTTAGAATTTCTACCATGCAGTTCCATAAAAATCCTTTCCTGCTAGCAGTTTCCTTTGCTAGGCACCTGAGGCTTCTCTGGCAAGCCCTCTGGGCATGAACTCTGGCTCCAGCTGTGCTCTTTGTCTGCAGCAGGCAGGAGTCACTCCTGTGCTGAGCAGGTGAGAGGCTCTAAAGTTGTTCTTAGGCCCTAGAGCTGTGGGAAGGAGCACAAGGTGGCATCGCAGATCAGGCTTGAGAGACTTGGTGGGTCTCACCTTGACTTCTGTCTCCAAGTTGTCTTCTGATGCCTTCTGAATCAGGTAGCATCCCCCACCATCCAGTTTCCTTTCCTCTACAGTGCTTCTCTTTTGGTGCCTTGAGAGCACAAGGGTGTCATACATGAGGTTTATTTGCCCAAGCTCTCCAGTTTCCACTCAGCTTTGTGGCTGGGCACTATGTGGGAGATGTTTTGGAGTGAGTCTTCACAGGCTGGCTGACTGGAGAGCCAGTTAGTTTTTAGGGCTTGGATCCTCCCTAACTGGATTGTAACTCCCTAAATAATGAATGTTGGTGTTCAAATGGAGGGCTTCTTGTCCCCTGCCAAGCAGATGTGAGGACTCAGTTTGCCTGTGGCCCAGAGTCTCCTGAGAAGCTTTTGTTTATAGCATCTGCTGTGCCGAATATGCATGAAGCTCCCTGGCAGAAGAAGATGCTTTTGTCAGTTGGGTGTCCTTGACTGGTGTGTGTGTAAATTTGTTCGTGATTAATTGGAACAAGCTCATCAGAGGGTATTCACCAGGTGCAACACCAGAAGACACCCCCAAAGGCATTGTTGGAGCTGTGGCAACACGGAGGTTTGCCTGCTGTCCTTTGCACTGATATGATCAGGGTCCTCTCTGGGCAAGCAAAATAAAAACTATGTTCTTGCTTTGTAATTCTCTGTGGAAATGTTTTCTTTACTCCTTAAACAAAGACATGATTGGCTTGACTGCTGTGTCTAAAATTAATTTACCTGAAGCTTGTGGAACATTACCAAATGCCACTCTAAGGTGCACTAATACTGCTGCAGTCACAGGAACTGGCTGTGCCGCCTAGAAAAGCAATAAATGTGTCCAGGGCTGAGGTACAACTCCTGACATGTCTCAGGAAACTCAGATCTATCAGAACAGGGTGCCAAGCTGAAGATCATTGAGGACACCCCAGCTTCAGCCTCCCCAGTTCTCCCTTTATTCCAGCATCTACAGCTAAGCTAGAAGTCCTTACCATGACTGCAAGCTAAACAGCAATTTTACAACTCATTTACCTCACCAGACTTGCCCTTAGACGAGGAATCTAGTTAAATCCTGCTGAGTATCACAGAGCTGTCTGAGGTGGGGAAGATGGAGATCTCCCTCCACGGGACAGGGGTGGTGGCTGGAGGTGTGCTTTGTCTTTTGTCATGTTCCTGCAGGGAGATGGGGCTGATTTGTTGGTTCTGCTTCTTTCCCCCAAGTCTGAGAGAGGCTGATCCTTGTAGGCTTTAGGGAATTGGAACTGTGGGTCTATGGAAGAGCATTACTCCAGGGCTAGAGGGTAAGGGAAACTGCTAGACTGGGATGGGGGTGTGGAGAGTGGAAGTCTTCTGGAAATAAACATTGTAGTCATGATGGACAGGCTTCATTTCAAGCAAAATGAAATTGCAGTTAGAAAATTGGAACAAATAATCCAGTTATTCTTAAGACCCAGTAATAAATCATTGAAATCCAGATTAAAGTATCATTCCCCATTAGATTTCTTTCTTGAAAAATAGTTATATTCAGCCTTAATTCCTAGCTCTTGGTGCAGCATGTCCTGGCATCCATAGGACAGTGCTGTGCTCTCGTGTTTCTTGTAAGAACAAAAGGAGCAGCCTTGTGGATTACATGTACAATGCTGTGGCTGTTTGTGAGTAAAGGAATGAAGTTACTGTGTTACTTGCAGGATGTGGGTAAAACTTGAGGGGAAGGAAATGGTAGATAGACAATGTCTTTCTGTATAAAGCAAGTCCATACAAAAAAAGATGATGTGGAACAGAAGGAAGTAGGAGGGAATATGATTTGAGATTTCACTTAAGGTCAGGATGCAAAAAATATTATTTTTTGAGATGTTGTCCTAAGTCCCAGAAGCTAAGAACTGAGGAAATCCTTCTGTTTCTTGGTCCAGTTGACTAGAAAGGGAGGGGACATTCTTTCTAGTCCAAAGTAGCGCTCTGTAAATGTTGTCCATATTTGAGTTTGTCACTGCTTGAGACCTACTTTCTGGGGTTGTTTTCTCTTCTTGCCCTTTCTTGCACACCCACTTTGTGTGAACACAGACAAAGAGAGGTGGTTGTCAGGCTGGTGACTGGAAGAGGAATGGCCCTGTTTACCCATTAGGTAAATAAGGACTGGAGAAGAACTGCCACTAGGATAAAGTCTGAAGTGGCTCTGCTCTCCCATATGTTGCATTTCCATTTGAACTAATTGCTCATGTTCCTTTAATGGCTTCATGCTTTTATTTCTGCTCTTACAACTTTTAATGCCTATAGGAAGCCTTGAGCTTGGATGTTACTAAATGAAAATTAGGGCCCTCATTCTCCATGGAGAAATGCTCTTGGGCAGTGTGGTAATTTCATGCCTGGACGGAGTCATATTTGTTGGATAATTTTTGTAACTTAACCAAATTAGCCTTGAGAAACTATAGTTCTTAATCAGTCTTGAACTCTCTGCTCCATTAGTTAGAAACATCAGCAGGCTCTTTGCACAAAGGGTGGACACTTTGTTTGCAAAGCAGGAAAGTGCTCTGGTTTTGCCAATGCTCTGCAGGGCTTGTGTTTGATGCTTTTCATAATATTCTTAGCCCTTAGTAGGGCCAGATGCAAAGTCACATCAGGTCAGCTGCTCTTGCAAAATGAAGCAGCCAAGTGATGGTTCACCTTCCTTCTGTACCGAATAAAAGAAGATTCTTTTGATGTGAATTAGATTCCTGAGAAGATTCTAAAGACTAATAAAGGACAGTTCAGATAGTAACAGGGATAGAAACAGGGTGGGGAGGCCTTGTGTTCTCCAGTTCCAAAGGATACCACAGCCGGGAGACACCTGTGTTAAAGAAATTTCTGAGTAGGTCTCCTCAGGTCTTCTTAGTGACCTAGCAGAGTTTGATGTCAAAGTTCACTCTATTACTTACTACAGAGATCACAATCAATTCACACACACAGGCAGAGAGATATGCAGATCTATATCTACAGGTACAAAGGTACCTGTCAAAAATTCCCCTCGAGTTCAATGAGATAATCACATCAAATCCATTTGCATTTCTCAACAGGCAAGAGTACTGTGTCCAGTTCTGGGCAGGAAAGATATTGAAGTGCTGGAGCAAGTCCAGAGAAGGGCAATGAAGCTGGTGAAAGGTCCAGAGGGTAAGTGCTATGAGGAATGACTGAGGGAGCTGGGGTTGGTTAGCCTGGAGAAGAGGAGGTTATTACTGTTCATATACCATGATCTATGCCCTGTCCCCTCTAGCTATTAATTTTTAAGTAATATTTAAGCTACAACTTTGTTCTAACTGTTATTAATGTTCAGATTTGGCTCCAGGTTTCGTTATAATCCATCTTTGAATTACAGAACATAGCCATATTGTTCAAATAAATTTCAATTTGTGGCCTAACAATTCAAGCTACTTATGTCAAACAAGCACTTAGCTACTTTCAAATAATATTAAATTTTCAACACCGGTGTATCCTTTGGGTCTGCTATGAAAGGGATTCTGGATTTGCAAAGTTCCATTGCCGGTCTTTCCAGGTGAACTGTGACGTGGCCACAGACATGACATGGATGCATCCATGCCTTTCTCCAGAATGGCTCCTGGATTCCAGAGCAGTGTGGTGGCACCTCGTACGAGAAGGTTTTAACTGTAAGTACCTGCTGTGGCTGGATAGGAGCTGTGTTAAGGCTGGAAACTGTCTCTGTGTCCCTCTTCTCCCTGTCCCTCCTTCCTAGCAGCACTGTGAAGCAAGAGACCCCCTTCCCACCTCTTTGTGCAGTGCTTCTGTTGGCAGGGGCTGTCATGGTGCAGTAGGGGTTGGACAGTGTGTTGCTTCAGGCACAGTCCAGAGCCTTGCCTGGCTCTGCCACTGGAGCTGAGTTAAAGAAATGTAAAGCTGAAGCACAAGCATGTGCTTCTTTCTTTCCAGCCCCTTTGATGGGCAGTAATTCCTTCTGTCAGGTAGGCACACTCACCTGGGCATGTGGAGGGCTGCTCAAACTCTGCCCAAAGCCTTGAGAGACTTGGCTGGTCCCAGCTAGAACAGGTTTCAAAACAGTTGTTCTATCTCCTGTGTGGAGCAGAGACCCAGCCCTGCAGACAGCAGAGGAGTCAGGGCAGTTCCTCCTTCCCATCCGCAAACTTCCCCTTTGCTGACTGGAGCTCACTTGACAGGAGACGACCTGGTGCCGAGGCTCTGTCAAGGAGATCTATCTATTCTTCTGTGGAGGGATCTGTGAGGCTAGACAGAGAGAAAACAAGTGGAAGTGCTAGTTGAAAAGAGGGAACTTGGACCCATTCCTCTGCACCTCAGCCTTGGCACAACGTTGCTTTCCTTCTTCCCTCGGACTCAGCCAGCAGTGACATCTCCACACACTGTGGGTTGTGAGTGTTGTGCAAGGAAGGAGTTAGGGGAGTTCTGTTAACTCCTCCCCACTCTCTGCAAAGGTCACTGGCTCAATCCAGTGAAATTAAAGAGGAAACAAATGCCCAAAGACCAGAAGTCCCCGAACATGTCACATCAAATCACAGAGAAGCTAATGGGACAGAGCCACGTGGTTAGAGCATGTGTATTCCGCTCTATATCATTAATTTACTGATGTTAAATATTTCAGCAGGTAACTTTCAGGACTTCCAGGACTGTCCTAGTGGCTGTGATCACAAATTATTCATCAGTGGCACTTGAACAAGAAAAGCCTTTCTCTACAAGGGCATTTCTGAGACTCTTGCTCTTGTTTTTTTTTTTTACCTTTCAGCTGACTCCCTCTGCCTTCCAGGAGGAGATGTCTCTCACCACCAAGCAGAGGCTGGCCAGAACTCGGGAGATGAGGCTGCCCCAGGTTGTCCAGATTCCAGACATGAGTGAGACCTCCCATCACAAGGTAGCCTTTTCCTTCCCTTTTCCTTGCTTTTGATGTGGCATTTGAAGAGGGTATGTGCTTATGACAGGCTTGTCTTCAGCTTATTGAAATACTTCAGTGTCCAAGTCCTGTTGTCGTTTCAAGCTGCTGCTGGTGGTGAAGTTCCTTCTGCTGGGGAAAAGGCACTAGGCCCTTCACTGAGGACCTATGATTCCTTCCAGCAGCTGAACTTCTCACTGCTCTCTCTTACTTCACCTGTTCTTGGCAGTTGACCTGGACCAGACCTTGTTTCAGCCTTTCCCATCAGAGGTGGGATTTCAGAACTATGTCCCCAGTGAGGTCTGTGGAATGCCACTGGTTCTGAGGAACAGGGACAAGGTAAGTGCTGGGATGTGGAGGTTTAACACTGCTGAAAGAGTAGAGTGTTGTAATTCCTTTGGTGTGAGGAGATCACCACCTTTTTTTTGCAAGATGGTGGAAATCTTCCCATGCTGGGGATTCTCCCCTGATTTTGGCTGTGCGTTGGTGGTGTCTAACCCAAAGGAGATTTCTTTCCCTTTCTTTCTCTTGAAAGCCCTTGACTGATGGGAATGTTGAGGCCTGTACCTGCTCTTGTGCTGTACCTTGAGCATGCACCACATCCTGTGGCCCCTTGGTTAATCTTGGTTTCTGGCAGGAATCTCTGCCTCTTTCAGCCTGTTTAGCTGCCCCTGTGCAACTCACAGTCAAAACTCAGGGTTGAGTCTTCTCGACTTTATGGTGGAATCAGTTATAATTAGTGGCATTGGCACTGCAGGAAAAGTGTTTTGAAACAGCCCTGGAATCAGACTGATTTAGCAGAAGCAGCAGGAGGCCTTCAGGTGCCACTTCAGGCTCCTGCTAAGCTTAATTCAGCTCTGCTGAGGTTTTCCAAAGGCAATGTGGTGTCTGCTTTCCCTTTGGAGAACCACAGCACATCCAGAGCAATGTGTTTTTGAAGGTCTCCACATTCACTTGAACAAATTGTGATTGTTTTGCAATTTCCCAAGAAAGTTGAGAAGGGAAAAGTTGAAAAATGTCAGCAATCGTGTTCCACTGTAAAGAGGAAAACTGAGACCTTTTGAATTTCAGTCAGGGAAGCATTTTCTCAAATGAGGCTTGCGCCAAGAGCAAGCTGGTGGGAAGAGACAGAAGGAAGGAAAGGAGCAGGGTTCAATGCTTTCTCCCAAAGCACTTTCTTACACTCAAGGGTTTCTCTTGATACAGAACAGTAAATGTGCTGGAAGCAGAGAAAGGCCAGAAAAATAACAGTGTAATTAAAGTTGTTCTGTAAGGAAGAGTAAGATGTACGCATGAGAGAAAGGCAAGAGCAAGCTGGTGGGAAGAGACAGAAGGAAGGAAAGGAGCAGGGTTCAATGCTTTCTCCCAAAGCACTTTCTTACACTCAAGGGTTTCTCTTGATACAGAACAGTAAATGTGCTGGAAGCAGAGAAAGGCCAGAAAAATAACAGTGTAATTAAAGTTGTTCTGTAAGGAAGAGTAAGATGTACGCATGAGAGAAAGGCAAGATGGGAAGTTGGAAGTCTGCACAGGAGCAGGTGGGAAGTTGAGTTGGAAGTCTGCACAGGAGCAGGTGAATTAACCTCCTCTCCAAATCTACCTGTTGGGGGAAACAAACAAGTGGGCAAAAAAAGCTGTTGGGGCATAGTGCCGGTGAAGGAACAGCAAGATAAGCCAGAGTATATCCTGGCATAACAGGTTTTGACAGGGACACAGCTGCAAATGGGAGACCCTTTGACAAGGAAGGATGTGGGCATGGTCCATCAGTTATTCCTGGAGAGTAGTGCATAATTCCTGGTGTGACATTGAGCTTGGGAGTACTGGAAAGGTGCAGCATGGGTGCCTATGCCCAGTGGATACCATTGGTGGGGTCCTCGCTGATTCTGGGCTCTTTAGCTGTAGGTCTCCTCTTTGCTGGTTCAAATGTGCCTAATCTTTTCCTTTCCTACTGCTCTGCTTTGTTTCCACTGAGTCTTTTGGCTTCAGCTATTCCAGTATCCATGCAGCTCTTCAAAATGTTTGTCTTTGCCAAGCATGAGCCAACAGACAAACAGCTCTATTCATGCTTCCTCAAGTGGAAAAGGACATCTGCATTAACATTTCTGCCATTCCTAGTAAAAAAATAATGAATTTGTACAGCTGCATCTTGGGATTTGTATGCTCACAAAAGTGTGAGCTGTTGATTTTTTTCCCAAAGGAATTAGTTTTGAAGCTGTTAAGACCTCATCCATTGGACAGCACTGGTGTAAGAGTAAGATCAGTTCTAAGGAAAATCTTTGTCATATTTAAGTGCACAAAGACAGAGATTATGATCCCAAGAGAAGCTATTGTATTTTATTGGCTTTTGGTAATGTCCTGAAGAAAAGCAACATTATGCTCTGTCTCCAAGGTTTCTCATTAGATTCCCAGATTCCTTTGAATCATATCAACTTAGACTGTGTGGTAGCCTGAGGTTGTCTGCTCCATAAAAATCCAGCTAACAGCCAACTGTATTACAAATAGAGGCTCTGTAATCATTCAAACACAGAAGTCTTCACCTCTGTGTTGTTCCAATTGCTTTTCTGTCTTCCATCTGCTCCCTGCCACCCTCAGAGATGTACTGGGTAGCTTTCTGAAGGTCTTAGCCACGTGTGTTCATCTTCCAAGGGTCTTGGTGCCCAAAATGTTTGTTTGCAATATGAAATTGGCCCCTGGCACTCACTGCTCCTGGGCATTGCTGGAAGCAGAGGGTGTTTGGAGAGTTCAGATCTGCCTTGACCATGAGTTATCAGGCTGAATGGGTAGTGCAGAATGAACCTCCATTTTTTTTCCAAGTCTCATGTGAGTCTGTTGTTTATCAGTGAAGCTGACTGTCAGTCAAAATTGCCTGTTTTAGACTTTGTGAGATGTGATTTGGTGCTCAGGTGTTGATATCTGTGTGCTAGAAAATATCTGTTTGCTGTCTCTGTGTGTGTGTAACCCAGAAGGCAGAAACTGACAACAGAGTGTCTGCAGGGTCCCCTGGGTGCAGGGAGGGGTGCCCAGCAGTCTGGCTTGCCTGCACTGGCAGCTGCCTGGCCACAATCACCAGGCAGCAAGAGCCCCTGGAGAGCCAAGATTGGCTTTTAATAATGAAACCACACTGTGAGTCAGTGCTGGTCATGTTTCTCCAGGCAGAAAATGCCTTTGAAGCCCATAATTGATAGGCACAGCCTGGGGTGTCATCTGGCTTTCCATCACTTTGGCAAGTTGACTGCTCTCATCTTCTGCATTAGCCTTTCCTGGCAGTGTCCTGTGCTTCTCCCTTGCTTCTTTACAGCCCATTTACATTCTCTTCGCCATCTCCTTGTTTCAGAGATTGTCTCTTTGTCTTGCTTTGTTCATCCTTTTGCTCTTCAGGTTTGCTTTTCTTCCCAGTAAGGCCACAGTGTCTGGTCTCCTCTTGCTGGTTTGCCTGCATGACTGTATCCCCTCAGCTGGACTGCCCCACTCAGGCCTAATCTGGTAGAAGGGAATTGCTTCATTCCCCAAGGATAACACATGGTGTTTTGCCTTCAGGTAGCACATTGCCCCTCTGGAACATGACTGCATGGCTGTGTGCAAGCAGAAGCAAGCAGGTTCTTTGAGCTTGTTGAATATGCAGGTGACTTGGTTCAAGTGTTCTGTCTCTGCTGGTGCCTTTTACCTGCTTGGCAGTTTCTTTCCAGCACACATTGCCCTACTGCCTCTGGCTGAGCTGTTTTGCACAGGGAGAAGGGATTCCAGTCCACCCTTGTACATTATGTGCCTGTCCCTCCAGAGCTAGAAGTGCTTTAAGAAGATGGCTAAGGAAGGATGCCACCAGGGCATGGCCAGGTCTCTTCTCCACCTTTTTGCACAGGTGGCAAAATCATCATTTCATGTCTTTCCTGCAGGTTCCTCACCCAGTAAAGCTCACCTTGGAGAACTCAGCTTATTTCAAGCTGTTTGGTCCCAGTGGTGTATGCTGTAAGGTACTACCAGGCATGACTTCTACTTTATGGATCCTCTTCATCCCTGTGGAGAGCAAGGGGTGTCTGAAGGAACGTTATCTCTAAAATCATCATTTTTCTTGCACACTGCTTATAGCCCACCCCGTGCTGTGAGGTCAGCTCTAGGCTGTGTGCAGGCAGTCTGCAGCCAGCCGCACCTTGGCATGGCCTGGCACTGCCAGCTTTCCCTCCCTCCCAGTGCTTTCTTGAGCATTTGCAAGGGAATATGCACAGTAGGGAAATGACAGGGAGAGGTGTTGATAAGTTGTTTAGCCATCTCTAGGCTCAACAGAAGGGGGTTAATTATTATGGAAAATACTAGAGGAACAAATAGATCCAGAGAGCTTTTCTCTTTCCCATCTGGCAACCAGTTCCCTGCTTCACCTTGCACTGGATCAAAGACTATGCTTTTTCCTACCCTCTGTACTCCAGCCTTGCAGCTGTGCTGTCCCTGAGTTCACTTGCCTGCCTTGGATCCAGCTGTGAGGCCAGGAGAGAGGATGTGCTGTGCACGTGGCAGGGAGCCAGCCAGGCACAGGCACACTGAGCTCTGGATGCCCTTAGTCAGCAGGAGGTTGGTGTGCTGCAGGTGACTTGGATATCTGCCTGAAAAAGCACGTGTTGGGCAGGTACAACCTGCAGGCAGACACGTTACTCCAGATCCTGTGGGCAGTAATACTACTGTGGCTGTGTCTTCATGCATCTTACTGTGGTTGCTCTGTCAGCTGACACCTATTCCATGCCAAACATGCTGTGCTTTTGCTTGGAGGTTTGAATATGAATGCTGAGGCCCTGGCAAGGCTGATCTCAGTGCTGTGATGTGAAGGGTCAATGCTGTTATTTGGAGGGTTGTTAGTACAGAAGGATTTAGGGCATGGCATAGAAGGGAGGAAGCCTTGCAGGGGAACAAAGAGAGGGAGGATGACTCTTTCCACCAGCATCCTGCTACCTCTTAGCACTGTTCTTCACCTGACTGGGTTGGAGAGGCAAGGTTAGGGGGGGCTCTGAGCCAGCTGGTGTTTCTGCACCAGGCCAGAGCTGCAAAATCTTTGAGTACAGCTATTTTTTTCAACCTCCCTTTGCTGCTTGGTTTGTTTAATGCTTGTCCTATCCTCAAACAGCATGGATATAGATACCTAAAGAGGAAATGCTGTTTCCTAGCTCCCTGTTCTTTAGGAGGGACTGAGGAATTATTTAACATCATTAAAATTTAGAGTAAAAATTACGCTGGCCTAGGGCAGTTCTCTGTACCACCCAAGTGACACAAGAGCTTAATGTCACTGAGGTAGTCTTTGCAAAGTACACTGCTAACTTTAAACATGATTTATTAGTGTGAATTAGTGTATATTTTTGAGGTGGAAGAGGTAAATTGATGCCCATGAAGGGCAAGTGCTGCTCTTCAAGTTTAGAGAGGCAACAGAGCAACATGTGAACATCACCACAGATAGAAGGAGGGTGAGATAACCCACAAGAGCACTAATGTCCCATACTTTGTCCCTTTTCTTGCCCTTGAACTGGTGAGTGTATGGCACAGGGAGCTCTGCCAGCAAGAGGTCCTCTGCAGAGTTTCAGCAACACCCTGGTAGTTTCTGCTGAACTGGGCTTTGGGCTCCTTGCAGGGATTGTGCAGGGCACCAGGAGAGGGTTGTGTGCTGCTCAGTAAGGAGCACTTGGGGATTTTTACCGCAGAATCAGAATTTTGTACAAATTGAACATTTTGTCTTGTACTTGATGGAGTGCGAGTCAGCGAAGTACCAAAGTGCTGTAGCTCAGCTAGAAATGCATCAATAGCACGGGCAGGAGGTGCAGAGCACCTTGAAAACCCCTTAGCAAAGAGACAGGCACTGAGAAATAGTTCTGAAAAACCACCTGCATTGGGTTTGCAGCTGCTGGCACTGAGAATATCTGTGTTTTCATTGTGGAAGGCTTAGGAGTGCTACTTTGAACAACCTCTACATCTCAGCTGTTCCATGATCCACAGGGATTGTGGATAACCCAGCAACCTGGGCTGCAGGTACAAACCTCTGTGTCAGGGTTGTGGATGCTGCAGTTGGTTTATGTAATTCTTTTGCTTTGAATCTGTTCTTCCCTGAGGTAAGTCTTGTTTCAGCGAAGTCACTCCTGATTCAAGGCAGGGAAATTGTGGCCGAGCCCTAAATAAAAGGACCACACGAGTTGTTACTGGCTGAAATGCCACGTGTTATGTTGCCCTTTCTTGACAAATGAGCAGTTTCCTATCGTCTCACAGTCATTTGGGAATGTGCCACACGGCTGTCCTGTCAGAAAGTAAATGAACAACTGACGTGTCTCCTTGTTTATTGGCACTTGCATTATAAATATGAAATGCTAATGTTTCTGCTGGGCAACATTTCCAATTAGTTCCTCTTGCTGCTTCTGATTTACACGTTCCTGTTTTATGGCTCCAGTTGCCCAGTGTGGGTCTTCTCATGCCACCCTGTGTTCTCGGATGTCCTTGCATTGTGGTCTGACAGTCTCTGCCTAATTGGAAACCATTGTGGGACTGACTGGCAAATACCCAACAGACAGGAATACTTATATTTGTGTGTCCTTCAGGCTTATTAATAGATTATCTTAAAGGGAGAAGGAAGCAGGAAGCATACAAAATCATAGCACAGCTTATTCTGTTCTGTCTTCTTGTTCTTTTCACTGTAGCAAGACAATATTTTCAGGCAATGCAAGTTCAGTCTGTGAGGTTTGCAAAATTCATTCCTGATGCTCAGTGGAGACTGAATTACTGCTCACTGATTAACAGGAAAGATGACAGGACAATGAGTTACTGCACTGCTGAAATTCACTCCTTTAAAATTCAGTCCAGCTCTGTTAGATGTTTTGTAGCTCACGGAAGTTATTGCAAACAGACTTTTAAGATGATTCTTGTGGGGAGGAAAGGGACAGAAGATGAAGGCAAATGTTCCTGCACAGAGTGAACCTGGATCACAGTGACTGATTTCAAAGACTCCTGTGAATTGGTAGCTGAGAGGGCAAGAGCAGGGGTATCCCTTCCTCTGTGGAGCTCTCCTCACCCTCCAGTCTGTCCTCTCTTTTAGTGCCCCTTGTTTTCCAGCCTGTGTGATACCATGGTTTCAGCAGGGAGCTTTCCCTGCTTGACTTACTATGTTACCTCACGCTACAAGGACCTTTTCTTCGCACGTTGTCTGCTGCAGGGAATTCCCTGAAGGATTTAGGATTGGTTATGCAGGATAACTGACATCTGAGTCTGTTGTACTGGGCAGGCATTAAGGTTAATGTCACTGTGACAGTAATTAATGCTGGCCTGAGTCTGCAAAGGGCCCGAAAGCAGTGCTGGGTTAACGCTTGGACTTGATGATCTTCAAGGTCTTTTCCAACTGAAAAAATCCTAGGATTTTAGGAAATGACATTGAGACAAGCAGTTGGTTTAGTTTCAGTGGGTGCTAATTCAAATGCCAGGGGTGATATTTGGAAGGCCAGAGCTTGCAGCTTATTGCTTATCAAAGGGGAATAAATGCAGAGGAACCATCCTACAATCATCTCTATTTTCCTTGAGACTGAGAGGTGTTGTTTGAAGGCAAAAGTCATATTTACATGAAAATCTATAGCCTGAAGCAGCATCTAAATAATCTTTCAAGCACAGAAGTGATGTGCCCTCTCACTGACTCGGGTGCTCATTTAGAAACTTGGTTTTAAACACTCTGTTAAGGGTTTGCAGTTGTAAACTGGTTTCAGCTGTGCTCCTAGATTTTGTCGCAGTTAGTGTCCTGGTAACACAGGGCAGTGCTGCAGTGGGGGATTTGCAACCCTTTTCTCCCAAGGGAGAGCAGTTCAGCTTTCTAAAGCTGAAGAGACTATGGGTTGACAGCAGTGTGGACAGCCAGTCTCTGCCTAACACACCCCTTCCTTTGGGTTTTCTCCTTTTTGGCCTGACACTACATTCTCCTTGGTGCAATGTCCCACTTTGGGGCGTCATAGTGTGGTTGAAGGGTCAGTGCACTCTGAAGTGCTTTGGGTCAAGCCTTGCCCAGGCTGCAGTGTCTCAGAGCATCCCTGGAAAAGGGACTCAGGAAACAATGTGCATAAGTATGAATGGTGAGAGGCAGCATAAGCTCTCAAGGTCATGGTTGTCTCTGTGAGGCCAAATCCTCATTGTGTTTCCCTTGCTTTGCAGACATGGAGAAGTTCCTTTTTCTGAGCACTGCTGTGCAGGCAGTCCCAGTGCCTCCCACCAGGGGAGCTGGGAATGGCTGCCTGTGCTGGCTTTTGAGGGATTTATTCCTTGGGCTCTTATTTACATTGCTGTTGATCCCCTCACTCCTTAACAATGACAATGACTTAAAAATTTCTTTTTACTTTCTTCAGATACCTCCAGTTGTTGAAGTTTCTTTTCTCTTTATCCCACTGCTGATCTGAACTCCTTGCATCCTTCTCTGTCTACCTGGCATCTGGAAGGGAGAGATAAGTGAGCATAGCATGCCAAGGCTTAATAAGACACGCAGCTTTCAATTGGATTTACAATGCCTTTGATACAGTAGTGTGGCCAAAATAACAAAAAAAAAAAAAAAGGTAAATAGCATTCTTCATTTGCTAATGCAGTTTCTGAGGATCTAAGCAGTCCGGGACGTGAAGTGCCCAGATAATAGGTGCTTTTAATTCCCATGGGCTGCCAGTAGCTTTTATTTTAGAGGGCTTAGGCTGCAAGATTGAGTGCAAAATTGCTAATTCAGAAAGACTTGCTGAAGATGAAACGCTCTCCTGAAATGTGATCTTCAATTCTGTAGGTCGTTTGCTGCAGTTCCCTTCCTGGTATTTTGCCTTCCAAATAGGAGAAGCAAAGCCCTTCTGCAATTTCGAGTGTGAATCTTTGAGATGTCTAGAAAAAAAGATCCTTCTTTATTCTTTTTCCATCTTGGATGTGACAGCAGCTGTTAGGGGGACCCTAAACCTTGGCTGAGCAGGTGATTGGGAGGCACTGACTGTTGGGTTAAAGCAGTAGCTGCCTTAGCTCCCTTCCAGGCTTGGAGAGGATGGGTAAGGAAGCAGAAGGTCCCAACCATGGAAGAATCTGGAGACGTTCTGGTTAAGGAAATTTGCTGCTGTGTGCAGTTCTGAAATCAAATTGTCTGTTTGCTGCTTCAACAATGATAAAAATATCAAACGACTTAAAAGCACCGAAGAAAAAAGATCAGGCCAGCAAGTCAGTGATAAGAGGCAGAGCTTTTATCAACTCATCGATACGGGAGCAGCTGGAGGCAGTGGCTCCTGGCCCTGCTGCAGCAGCTTTACCACTGATTTCGGCAGGGGCAAGGCACAGCGATGCCACACTGTACATCTGGAGATTGATCTGCTCATCCCTGCAGTAAAATGGTTTTGGTGATTTGATTCACCTTCCTACTGCTAAATGCCAGACAGCTGGAGGAGGGGCTGTCTGGCTCTCTCCTGAACAGTGAATAGCAGGGTTTAGTTTGCCCTGAGGGTTTCCCTCTTGATCCCACCCTTGTCCGGATAGGCACTTCTTGAGACCGTGGAAAGAAAGCTGATTAAGGCATCAACCGTGCAGCAGAGAGGGAGCAAAGTTATTTGCTGTGTCCTGTGTAGCCAGAGTGAGATGTAAAGGAAGATTGAGATTGTACCACAGGAAGAATTCTTAAATCTAGGGCAGAGCTCGAATAGGTTGCTGAGGGCAAGGCTGGAATTCTTAGTGAGTTAAGTACTTGTCAGACATCTGGCAAGAATTGCTTGGGATTAGGATGAGTCAATTCTGTGCGGGGAGATTGCTCAGATGGCTTTTTAAGCATGCATGTCCTCTGCCTTGTCCCTCTGATGCTTTGGGAAGGGGTGGGAAATACACACTTACCCCACACTCACCTGGCATTGAAGCAGTTATTGTGTCCAGCTTGTTAAGTATTTCACCAAAGATGGGCTGCTGGTCATGCATGTGACAAAGTCTTTTTGAAAATGTACCTGAGCATCCCCTGCCAAGCTCCACCAATGTTGCTGCATTGCTGGGACTGGAGTTTGTGCTGTGGCACAGCTGGGTTCCTAGTGGTGCCTTTAACTGTCTGCAGTGGTGGTTGAAGCAGATTTTGTTATTGCTATAATCCACTACCTGAAATTACTCCGTTTTGGTGCCTCAGAATCAAAGTATCCTATAATTTCATCTGGTGCTGCCAGTGAGCTGTGAAAGCAGATGAATCAATAGGGTTGTTTCTTCTTTGCAATTTAACAGTCTTGTCCAAGTCATCCTACTGGAATGAAAGGTCATTGAGGTACAAAATACTATTAATTATTGAATGCTACTGTTAGGGTCATAGAAAACAGAGTTTTTCTTCTGCTATGGGGTTGGCAGTAAGTGCCCTGAGCTGAGACTGTTTCTTTTTTTGCAGTATTATTTCCACCAGCTCCTCTGTGTTACCAAATAGAAAACTTCATTGTGCCAGTCCAGGCCATTGGCTCCCAAGCTGTCCTGGACTTCCCTGATCAGCTGGACTTCTCAGTCTGTCCAGTTAACTACAACACCCAGAAGACTCTGCTGGTTTGCAACCTTGGTAACTGGGAAGCTCAGTACCACATCAGCACTCAGAGGTAAAGCAGCTCATCTTTCCCTGTGCAAAACACCTTTGAGTGGTAATAGAGTTGGTAAAGAGCAACAAAAGGACCCAGAGCATCGAACTGCTGCACTGCAGCCATGTCAGCTCAGCCAAATAGACCCATTCTCTGGGAGGCGACAAGCATGTGGCATTCCCGTGGTCCCCTCGTCAGATGCCCAATGTGAGCTGTTTTGGGGACAGCCTGTGCTGTTCCTGTTCATCAAAGCAGATCTGATTTCCCTTGTCAGCTGAGGGCATCAGTCATCTCTTCTGTTTCGTGATGAACATTTGAAAGCCAGTTTAAAATTTGCCAAATAGACCCATTCTCTGGGAGGCGACAAGCATGTGGCATTCCCGTGGTCCCCTCGTCAGATGCCCAATGTGAGCTGTTTTGGGGACAGCCTGTGCTGTTCCTGTTCATCAAAGCAGATCTGATTTCCCTTGTCAGCTGAGGGCATCAGTCATCTCTTCTGTTTCGTGATGAACATTTGAAAGCCAGTTTAAAATTTCCAACAGATGATTTAAATCTTCGAACAGAAGCAGCATTTTATTCTAATTAAGTTGCTCCCACCTTCATTCAGATTTCTCTCTAAATACTCTGAAATTCCTACGTTTCTTCTTTTTTTTTTTGTTGTTTTGTGTTAAATGTTCATCAAAATGTCATAATGAATTCTTCATTAGGAATGTTCTTAAAGGTTGAGCTCCTCTAATGCCTGTCAATCTACCATCTGTCCATGGGTATATGCACAGGTGTATAGGAAACATGGGACATTTGGGGAATATATGAAAAGCAGTTGGGCTGATTTAGAGGATAAAATCATAGAATAACTTTTGTCGGAAGGGACCTTTGGATATCATCGGAGCAAACACACTGCTCAAAGGAATACTAGTGTCTGGGGATTGTAAGGTGCCATTGGGAGATTTGGACCTGTGAAAGTTTAGATGTTGTACAAGAAGGCAAACATACAAAGGGACATACTTAAAAAGCAGAAGAAAGCAAACTACTAGAAACCCCTCCAAACCTTATCTTTTCTGCCTGTCAGGAGCAGTAGTGATTCATTGAAAGGGTAGATCTAACAGGACGAGAATTATCATAAGGAACAGCTCACAATTAATGGATAAGAGGCCAAAGTTTAGCCTGCCAGCTCCATCTCTTGGCAGTGGTTTTCATTTGGCTATTACAGTCTGTCCAGGATGTCTCTTTCACAGCTCTTATCTGTGGGCTCAGGGAACAGCTTAGTGATGCTGGCTGAAATTCAGAGGAGTTAAGGTTAACCATGGAGCTTGTGTCTTTGGATGTTGGAGAACCAGGTCTATGTGAGGGATAATGACATCCTCTGGCTACAGCAATAACAGAGGTGTCTGGTGAGTACAGCCTGGGGTGGGATGTAGGAGATGCAGGGGCTGATTTGCACTCGGTTTCTCAGTTCTGAGAACTGAGTCCTGAACTTGGCTGGATCCTCTTCTGATAATTTGAAAACAAGAAGATGTCTTCTGCTTCAGGCCCTCCCTGAAGTTACCCGCAGGAGTGCTATTCCCATCCAGCCATCTGAGGGTAGGGCTATGTAGACATGTGGCAGGAGCAGGAAGGGAACAGGATGGAAGGTAGCACTGAAGTGTTGCCAGGGATTCCTCTTAACTCGTAGCTGCTCTATTCTGGCAAAAGAATAGCAAAAAAAGAAAAATCTGTGCCTTTCCCACACCGGGTGATGATCCCCCACAAGCCCCAGCTGAGACCTGCGGCAGTCCTGGCATCACCACTGGGACAGATGCAGGGGCATGTAGAGTAATCCAGCTCTGGGGTTGTCTTTCTTCCTCTCTCTCCAAAATCTTGGGTTCAGCACATAAACATTGCTGGCCCAAGGCTTCTCCATTAGCCAGTAGTGATATTGTCATGAGTGGTAATGGGAAGAGGTCATGCCCTTAATTGCAGCAATAGCTCCTTAATGAGCAGAAACTGTAGCAATTTCATCAGCTGTCAGTAGTGACATGAACAAAGTTCAGCTTGCACACGGCTCCAGTTGTTATTATTTTAGTGTGAATTGCATTCTCTAATCATCGTCAAACTCCCCAGAATATGTTTGTAAGGTGACGAACTGACCACCAGCAAAGCGCTAAGACCAAGTACTCTTGTTTTTTCAGTGGGGCTGTACAAGAGCAGCAGCCCAGTTGGGCAGAAGCATCTTTCACCTAAGCTATCCCTAAGCATTAAAGCACTGAGTTTTGTGTCTGTCAGCCTAGGGCTTGTTTACCTGGTGACAAATTCTAATTGCTCCTGTTAAATCCAAAGTGCACCAACACGTTTTCGTAATTATTTCCAACACATTGCACAGAGTTTTTCTGATGGGCCAAGCAAACAGTCACCAGCTTGGATGACAACTCAGAGTCCCCGATTGCATTGCTGGTGAATACACAGAAACCTCCCATTCAGCTCCCTTGATGTGCTCCTGTTAATGGCACTTCATTTAGCTGAGACTTAATCCTTCAGGCTGTAAATGGGATCCTCCTTTTGGGTCTTGTTTCCTTACCACTGTATTGCTCTAACCTGCGTTTGCACTTATGCAGAGTTTTGATTACTGAGTTTTTTAGAATAGATTTCATTGAAATGCTGATAAAATGTGTCCTTTTTTAGGCAAAACCAGGGTGTTTTTAAAGTAAACCCAAACAACCACACTGCAAATCAAACAGTAATTATTCTTTGGTCTTCAAGAAAGACTTTATTCTCCCTGTCTGATTTGTAGGCTGTAATCTCACAGGACAGGTATTGCCCAGACATTTCCATCTCTTGAGGTGAGGTTTATAGGTGGCAGGAAAAGAGATTCCTGGGGCAATCAGTGCCAAGCAGTGCATGCAAATTGTTCTTAACTCTCTCTGTGCTCTTCACAAACCTTTATCTGATGGAATTGCTGGCAGTCAGACCCTTGAGCCTCATTGCAGAGAACTGGATGCAGGGTATGGGGGAGATGAGGTCATTCTATCCCTCGGGATCTCCTGAGGGCTGGATCTCCTCAGAAGTGAGTCAGTAGCTGTTTCTGATCCTGTATGTTCCGTCTGTCTTCTGGTGGCTGTGGTTTGTTTGTTCCTTGCTTGCACAGGTGAGCTGAGGTGAACTAGACTGCAAAAGGAGTGCAGTTCCCAAATCTGCCCCAAGAGTCCTGATCCCTCTCTTTTTATTGCAGCCCTTTCTCTGTCATTCCAGCTGTTGGAACTCTCAGTGTTGGCAACACCATGCAAATGACAGTGGAATTTCACCCGCTGCAGACTGGGGATCATTCTGCATCCCTGGTAGTGCACTACGACACAGGTAAGTGCTGGGCACTGCATGGTGCACACTGTATCCTTCAAAGCAGAGCCCTTTCTAAGCAGAGTAATGTTAAACTTGCTTTGCAAACTACTTGTAGAACTGTTTCTTTAAGAGCCTTGGCATGTTTCAGTGCTTAGAAGTGAGCAGAGAAAGGGCCAAGGCTGAGTCTGTCCCTGCTCTGTATGTGCTGTGTTGCTGTGTGCTGCTCCATCCCTGAGGGGACCCTGGTGTCAACGTGGTGTTCTCCATCCAGCACCCCTGTGACAGTCCTCTACCATCATCCCCCATTGTCCTAACCACCTCAATTCCCTCTCCAGATGCACCTCCCCTTGTCTCAGCTTTACTGCAAAGAAAAGTGAGAACTAGTTGATGTTTAGAGGGTTGATAAAATGGATCCCCTCAAACAGGGCTAAGATTTTTGGCATCCTGTTTTTTCTGGGAGTTGCTGAGTGGAGGAAGGAGGAAACCTGATTCTCCAATACAGTGTGGATATGCATGGGTGAAGCTTTATTCCTAGGCAGTACTATGTGTGACATGTAATGTCTCTGTAAGACTCTCTCCTGCTGTCTCTTGCACACCTCTGTCCCATATGTTGCTTCTCTGATGCCTTGCCACAGACCTTTTTTTTCATGTTGCCCTCTAAGTATCTGCATGCTGCACTTCACAACATCAGGACTAAAGCAGCCAGGGCTTGGGGGCCCTTGGAATTTGGCAGGAAGTGCTTGCATAGAGCACAGGCATAGAAGCTCCCCAGCATTATTTCCTCCCCATTGCTGCTTGCTAGATGTAGGGCAAAACATGGTCAGCCTCGTGTTACACAGCACAAGGCTGCAGCACAGAGAAACAGCCCTGGCCTGAGATGTTTCTGCCCTGGCAATGCCTCTCTAGTCTCTCTGGTGGCCCTTTCCAGCCCCAAAGGTTGTCCAGCAGCCCAGTGCTCAGGCTGACTGCTAAGGGGATCGCTGCAGGGAATTTTGGTGCTGGGCACCAGAGACCTACCACAATGTGCACTTTGGGTTGATCAGTGTGGACTACAGCCTGTGTGGGCTACACCTCCAGCTGCCAGCCCTCTCGGAGTCTGGAGCAAGTGTGATCAGCAGGTCTGTGAGCTTCCCCAATCTCTAAGCCACTGCAAACACTTGTAGGATGAATGCAATTTCCTTAGGGCCATGTAACAAGAGAAAAAAAAAAAAGACAAAAACTTGCTTGGTAGATCTCAAAGAACCTGGGAATCCCTGTGCTTAGTGTGGAAACAATGCTCAGGGTTCCAGGAGGTATCAGAAGTGGATCTGGGTCTTCTTCCCTCTGCCCTTCTGGGTCTGACCAGAGACAGATTTTCTGTGCTGCCGCAGCAGCCTCTGGAGTGATAACTGCCAACTTGAGAAAGCACTGACATGTCAGTGTTTCCCCATTCTCCAGTGGGGGAAAAGAGGCATAAGATCACAGGAAAAATTAAGGCATATTTAAAAATGACTCATTAGGGAGCTGATGTGGAGCTCTTCAGTCACCTGCGGAACAGCCACGAGTTTGATGGGAGATATTAGAGCCATTGAGGCATGGTGAAGATGATGAATAACTACAGAACCGGGTGTGCTTGACTGGCAGCAGGGGAAGCAAAGCCTGTGCATCTTGGTCATGCTGATAAGCTGTAGTAGAGGCTACATGGCATTGCAAATGGGTGCAGGGGAATTGTCAGATGTGTTAGTGACTGCTCAGCTGCTGTGTGGATCAGCACATGGTTGCCAGCTGAATATAAACATGTTAGGATGCTAAATACCTTTCTTCAGGAAAAACTGATGCTGGGATTGGCTGACTCAGCTTACTTCAGTATGTGAGGCCACCCATGCAAGGACTTGATGGTGTGTTAGTGGTCACCCTACACATGCAGGAAACCCTCTAAGTCCCAGCCCTGGCTGATTTGAGGCTGAACAAGGAACTGTAGTATAGATGTGCCAGCACCTCTGAACAATTCAGCTACCCACAAGGGTAAAGCACTGCCTTGCTTTGATACTCATCTGTGGTTTTGTGTAGACTTTGCAGGCAACAACCACCTTTGTGTAGCTCTGTTCTCTTTCCTTAAGAACCCCCTTCCTACCAAGGCTTGTCATCTGTCTGGCAAGGCTGGTGTTGCAATCAGTGGCTTCCAGGAACTTGTTTGAAAAATGAAATGAAAATCCTATTGATTTAGTCTCTAGATCAAGCCTTTTCCTTTCTTACTTTTTTTTCCCTTTGTAAATCCCCTGATGGATGTGGATAGGCAGCAGGGTTTAACTGAGGTTTAGCTCTTGTCGTCTTGCATTTTATATTCCTGAGATCACTCAAACAAGTTCCTGAGTGCTTTCCATTTATATTGACTTCAGCCAGAATGGAGGACGCTCAATACTTGCCCGAGCAATTCACTACCTCGTTAAGTATTTCTTTGAATTGTCCCTGTGTTGTGCAGGATACCAGGGTGGGATTACCCAAGTCATTTTCAGGTTGAAATCAGCCTTGTGTGAGTGTTTGCAGGGGCTCTGATGCTGCTGTGAGCAGTGCTAAGTTACTACTGAGCTAAAATCATGGCAGCAGACCCTGAGTGGCCGATGGCCGCCACTATGTGCCACTGATATTCAGGTCTGGACTTATCCATCTTCACGCAACTCTCTATTCCTTCAACCTCAGACAGATTGGTAGGAGCTTCTTACAAGTGCTCATAGGTGGGAAAACCTTGTTCTTCCCAAGCAGCACCTTCTTTTGACTCCAGAGCTTCATTGTAGTGCACCAACTGATGTAATATTTTTGTTTGTGTTTGGTGCTGGCAGATGGCTAGAACTTATATTACTCTGTGCGTTTTAAAAGCAGGTGTTGTTTCCTGTGTTACCTTACTTAAGGTGTAAGCCAGACTCTAACACTGCAGTTGTTACAAGAGACTGTTCTAGCTTTGCCTTGGTCTATAAGGCACTTAAAAACTTTGCAAAGGGATTTTTCTTTCTGCTTGTTGCAGGTGGCCACTGAAAAGCCTTCTGCTTTCCCTTCATTTGTGAGAATTCCCAGCAGTATGGTTCGTTCGTGTCAGACATTTATTTGTGTGTTTGCTTCAAAGTGAGTGGAGGGAGGCAGATATTGTAGGCAAAAAAACCCCCAACAAATGTGTAAATAGGACTTTGTGCAATTATATGTTGATTTTGCATTTTAATAGTAGCAGTGCTGCCACAGACAGGGGATTGGTACCTAATCTTTATGCAGCTGATTGGTTATAGGCTTTTGTAGTTCCAATTAATTAGATTGATGGTTGAATCTAATTGGTCTCCAAAGTGTTCATTTCTGTCAAAACACCTAATAGGTAACAACTGCTTCCTGCCTTAGTTCCTCTCATCCAGAACTGCTTGTAATAATGATTTTTATATTGTTTTAGATAAGGTTATTCTGCTGCTTGCAAACATAGTATGGCCTTTGCCCCTCACCAGGGCCCTATGTTTCAAGACAGATGGTCTGTCATTTTGAGGGTAGATGAAGGGGAATAAACTTTGTGCTTTGTTTGCTCAAGGGCGTTTGCACAGCTCTATAGCTCCACAACTACATAACACCCCTCCTGACAAAACCTCTGCCAAAGCAACCCACAGAGTTGACTGCCTGAGCACAGACTGGGGTGTGTGTACTAAGAAGGTTGTTTGGAAGTTTAAACTTTGGTTTTGGACTGTTTTGTTCATCCCCAGGTATGCCCAGAGACAGACTTCCTGTGAGCCCACACAACTCATTTTTAGCACATGAAAGATTTCTGGAAGAATGTGGTTTCCATCTCATCGCAGGTTATCCTTGACCGCAGCTTGTCTGCTCCATCATCCGTGAAGATCACTAATATGTTCTTAAGTGTCGTTACCTCTGGATATGTTTCAGGGCAGAGCTGCCCATTCATTAGCTTCCTTTCCTCGTGGATCAATCAACATCTGCTGAGAAGCAGTAGAGCAGCTTGAAGGGTGATTGATTTATTAAGTGGTATATCGAGTCTGTCTTTGCCAGACCATTAGAATGAAAGTTCCTGCAGTGTTTTCCCCATGGGCCAAAGGCAATGTTTCAGCCAGGCAGGTACCCCAGTGTATCATTACTGGAGCAGCAATAAAGATTAAAAATAGCCCATGGCACCCTGGCCATGAGGCAGTGCTGTCTTTCATCATCCGACGGTTTCAGTGTCCTTTCCAGTACATTCTGTGAGGCTCCTTCATGCCAGGCAGAACAAAGGCTGTGTGCTGGCTCCCAGATATCCTGTGCCACAGTCTTTCATCCTGTTACTAGGCAAACAGATCTTCCTAAGCACAGTGCAGAGGAGATAATGGGGAGTACTTGGATGCGCAACAAGGAGTCTGAAAATGAGTTGACTTTTAACGTGCCAGAGAGCTGTCTGAAGAGCCTGCAACCTGTCCCACAGCCCACTGCTGTCTGGTCATGGCTTTACATCTCCCATTTAATCCCCATCTGTTGTCTTGTGACTCCTTGCAATGCCTTTGGGGTAGAGACCCTCCTGTTGCAATGTGCTGCTTGGGTTCAGAGGGTGCTTCGCTGAGGCTTGAGCCGTGCTGGGAACCTCTGAGCATCAATAGCAATAACTGCAGCAATGGTGATGATGATGATGATGATGATGTTCTGAGCCTTGTTGTAGCCTGGGAGTGATTCAGCTGCGTTCATAGAAGAGATGAGAGCAAGGCCCAGTCTTCTGACAAACTGGGCAAATGAAATTGAACTTGCTTTCCACGATAGCCAAATATTCCAGATTTGACAGTCATGCACTCCTAAGAAGATTTAAAACCCAAATTCAGCAAAGAGGGAGTGCCTGCGAAAAAGGAAGAATATGTCTTAGTAAAGACAAAATGCAGCAAAGACTGTTTTATTTCTATTCAGTCTAATCAATCTGGCTAACAACTTCCAAATATTTAAAGCAGTAATCAATGAAGGAAGGTACTAGTTGTTGAATCCTAGGAAAGCATTCTTCATAAATCCTGAAATTTGTTCTGAAATCTTGTTCAAGGGTTTGCTCATCCATTCATTGAGCTATACTTCCAGGCTAAACAAAATTTGTCTTTCTATTTAAGAATAATTTGTGCTGCTCTGAACAGTATTCCCTGTTGCACCAGTCTGATCGTGTAGTGTTAGAAGAATTCAGAGAGATGTTGTAGCTCTTCTGTAAATTTCCTCTCATTCTTTTTACCTGTCCAACAGGCCCCACAAAGAATGACCAAGTGATCAATTTCTTACTTCCAGGCAGTGAAAAGCGATCATGATGTGCTAAGATGCCTGTGTCCATAGTCATGCAGCTGGATGCTGGGATAAAACACACTGGCATTTCTGCTGTGTCAGAGCCTTGTTCAGGAGTGCACAACCCAAAGCATCTGCTCTACAGCTATATAAAAAGTCTGACTTCGAATTTCAAGTCCAGGCGTTGTTTTGCTCAGGTTATGGAGAGAGCTGTGTCTTGCTGTCTGTAGGAAATGTATCCAAAGGATGTAAGGATGAGAGAACTGACAGCCTGTAATAAGATCGTGTTGTGTAAATAATGATAGGGCAGATCCATCTAGACTCAGTAAATGTGCTTTCATGGCAGCAGAGCATCCCAAACTGCACACCGTGGACATTACTCTGTCAAGTGAAATGCCTCGTGCTGCATCACTGGTACAGTACAGAGATTTATTTTTTAAACATATGTATTAAACAACCAAGAGTCTTAAATGAAATGTCACATTTAATTTGGCACCCAAGACATGAAGTCTGCAGCTGCCCTCAGCCAACCCCGACAGATCCACTCTCTGTGTCAGTTCATCTGCCTGGCAGAAAGATCTGTGGCATCCTCCCGATTCACTGTCATCTGTGCCTGCTCTTCTGTACCCAGCGATTTTTGGGGGTATATAACCAGCACGTGCCAACTATTTCCCTTTGTGGTAGAAGGTGCTCTGGCAAAGCCTGGAGCCTTCAACAGAGCCCTCGGTGCCTGCAGCCAGGAGTGTTGGGGTGGCTGCAGCCCCAGCTCCTCTCCGGGAGTGCAGCAATCTGGGGATGCTTAGCTAAGCGTGCAGAGACAGGCAGAGCATCTGCTTCCTCCCTCATGGGCTCTGGAGTTGATGTTTTCCTGTGCTGGAGGCTTTAGTCTCATCTTTGTTTAATAGCTTCTGATAGTTTTATCTTCCTAGTATTGGTCCAGTTGCTCTTTGGATTTATAGCTGTGAGCATCTCCAGCCTCCCCTGGCAGCATGTTCCAAAAGGTGGGATCTTCCCGGGAAAAGTACTACTACTTTTGTGTAATCTCTGTCTAATAACATTTTCAGGCCCTTGGGTTTCTGTTTGATGACAAATCATGACAAATTTTTCCTTATTCCCATTTCCCAGTCCATTCATGCTTTTGCAAACCTTTGCCATCTATCTCCCATTCAATTTCTAGGTTGAGGAATCCCATTCAGTCCTCATATAGAAACTGCTCTGTACTTTTAATCTCTTTTTCTGCCCTTCTCTATTTAATTTCAAATGTTTCAGTTTGAGTTTTGAGATCAGAGTACCAAATACTTCAAGACTGATGTGGCTGTGGGTTTAGACAGGGAGATTATGATAGTTTTCATGGTGTTCATTTTGTAATGGTTTGTCATGTTGAATGTTGTAGAGCACTGGGCCATGTTTCCTTGCCTGTGTCCTCTCCTGCTGTGGGTTGTCACTTCACTTGCTCCTCTGGACCTCCCTTTTCTGCCCACATGCCCCCAGGCATCTTTGCTTATCAGCAGCAAGGAATCAGGAGAGACAGGAGAGTCGTGGGATGCCTGCAGGAGACCCTGAGCAAGCCATGGCTGAATGGGTCTCCTCAGCATCACCTGAATGACTTTGATGTAGAATTTCCTGTGGCCTGAGTCTATCACCTGAGCACGTTTGACCAATGTCACTGTAAATACTGTCACCTTGGAGACAAATCTTTACAAACACACTCAGAAATGAGGTGCCCAAGGTGGTGTCCAGGACATCCTCACACTGTACACATGCAGCAGTCAGGATGTGATAAATGTATTGATCTGTGGAACTGCTCATACAGCTAAAAGCCTTGACACTTTCTTCTATTACCTGAGGTTTGCTGTTCCTTGTGCTTCCATCAGCGAGTGAGCTGAGCAAAGACTCCCCTTTGCTTTGTTCCAGGTGAAGATATCCACACAAGCCTTCAAGGAACAGCTGTGAATGTCCACATTGGGCTGGACAGGAACTCTGTGACAGTGGAGAAGACTTACCTCACACTGTCAAGTCACGGAACTGTGGTCATCTACAATCGGAGTAATGTCCCAGCCCACTTCCAGTGGAGGGCTTTTGCCACTCAGGAGGAGGAGGATTGGCAGAGGCTGAGGTGGGTTTGAAAGATACGTGTTTCAGTAAGACACACTGCCCAAAGGTAAAAGTGATGTATGACCTCAGTGGGATGCTTTTGAATGTTCTAGGGCAACTAAACCATCCCTGGCATCAGGGTATGTATCTCTGAGCTTCAGGGTAATGGAGCTCAGCACTTGTTACTTGGGACTGTACTGAGCAGTAGGACTTAATGTAGCTGCAGGTAGCACAGCTATTCTGATACTCACTGCAGTTTCTTCCACTCCAGCTTTGATAAGATGGAAGGTTCTTCCTGTGCTGTGCAGGGTAGGGTGCTTCATTGGCCCAGACAGTTGAGGCCATCCTGCTGTAGGATGTTGAATTGCCCTGCATTGTCTCAGTTTCTATCACAGTGAGGTATTTCTACCCCACCTTAGAGGCTGGGAAGGATTTGGAGGTGGAGGGTTCTGCAGAGAAGGTAGGACAGCACAGGGCTTGGAAGTACATTTGGACTTCAGCAACTTGTGTCTTCATGGTGATGAGAGTTGGGGCTGGTTCTTCAAAGGACGTCTTTGGGGAACCTTTGAAATTCTCATTTCAGGCAGCAGAGAAACACTTACAGCCCAGGGGGATGTATTGGAAATGACACTGAAAAGCTTGGGTGATTCAGGGAGTCCTTGTGTGACTTTTCAGATTTGAATGGATGTGGGTATATAGGAGTTAGTCTGAACCAGAGCTGATCAGGAAACTGCCTCAAACTGCAGCACTTTTTAAGGGCTTCTGAGCAAACAAAGTTCAACATAATTAGGTCAGAAATGCCTTGCAGGCCAAAACTAGTTTTCCACTGTTCTCTATTTAATTACACAGTGTCTGAGTTCCATGCAAGCACAGTGTGTTAAAAGAAAATCTCATGACCTTCTCTGGGTACTTGTCTGGACCATTCCTTTCCCATTTCTTCCCACCTACCTTTTTAAGGGCTTCTGAGCAAACAAAGTTCAACATAATTAGGTCAGAAATGCCTTGCAGGCCAAAACTAGTTTTCCACTGTTCTCTATTTAATTACACAGTGTCTGAGTTCCATGCAAGCACAGTGTGTTAAAAGAAAATCTCATGACCTTCTCTGGGTACTTGTCTGGACCATTCCTTTCCCATTTCTTCCCACCTACCTAGCCTG